TATTCAGTTAGGTTATTTTTAATTAAAGAATTTAATCAAATTTTAAAATTTTATTTTTTATATAAAATAATTTTGTTTTTTATAAAAACTATTTTAATTGTTTTTTTTTAAAAAATTAATTTTAAAATTATACAAATGAATTTGAATGCAAGTATGATTATGACAGGTATACTCATGTAATTTTGATACTATATTAATTATAATAGAGAAACTATAAAAGAAAATATCATTTTTACTTGTTAAAATTTGTGTTTTTAAAGAGAAATGTTTTTTATTTATGTATTATATTATCATATATATATTTTCAAACATAAATATAAAGTGAAAACATTTTTATTCTTTAACAATATCAAGATTATAGAAATTGGAATTCTAATAGAATTAGACATAGTAAAATTTCTCTTTTGATATTTTTATTTCTATTTGAAAATGTAGCTACCAATATTTACATCATAAAATTTTTTAACAATAATAGAATTATTATTGTACCTAATTAAATCAATTAATTATACACATAAACATATGTGTACAGTAGTACAAGCAAAGTACTCATTGATCACATGTAGTTTACATATGTTTTTATTGAGAAAATTATCTTTGTATTGCACAACTATTCTTGCCTGCACCGTGCGACACACATGAACAACTTGAATACATTAAACATTACAACATACACAACATAAAACACATGCATACAAAATAAGCACCACGCTTTAACGTCACGAGATTAGAATATAATTTCGATTACAGTAAATTGTTATATAATTACATGATGGTTGTGGTTAAAATGATAAAATGAAATTGAATATGCGAAAATTATGAAAAGCTGAAACACTATATCTTACATATAAGAAAAAAAATAAAAATAAATACGATTTGTGTTCCTGAATTGTTACTGAATTTGATTCATTTAATTAAACATTTTATTATTTTGTTCATTTAATTATTAAGAGTAAGAAAGAGCGATAAATTCTAGAGCAATTTTTTAGTAATAGCACAGAGAAAATATAAAAAATTAAAATGAAGTGATCACATTTTACAGGTTTGTTTACAAGTGTGTACGAGTGGAATGACCAAATTATCTTGATTTGGTGAATGAGAGTTTCCCACTGAACACTGATCATAAATGCATTACTTTATTTACACGAGGTAATAACTTGTATAACTTTTGTAATGTGAAATACAAGTAATACATGGTAAGAATAACGAGTATAAAGAATATAAAGAATGTAAAGAGTATAAAGGGTATAAAGAATATAAAGAATGTAAAGAGTACAATAAGTATAAAGAGTAGATGGCGATCGGAAAAATGCTTATTTTGGTATAATCGTCAAAAATATGTCATTGTTATCGTCGTTCGCTCTATCACGATATAAAGATAGAAATGAATTATATTGTATGCGTTGGTAGAGAGAATCAAAGTCAAGGTAAATGAACAACATTTTTACAGTTTTCCGAATACACTCAATCATTTAATTGATTTCAAAAGAATGTAAAATGAATTTAATTTATCACAATATCACGAATTATATGATCTTTTCCAAATAAATGAATGAATATAATAATAAGTAAATGAATATATCTGTAATACACAATCATCATCCATGTGCATTCATATTAATAAGGAGGAGGGCTTTGAAAAAAAAAAATTTTTAACATTTTCCCTCGCTTGCTCGCTTGCTCAATTGTTTATTTTTTTTCTCTTTTTTCTTTTTTTTTTTTGATCCAACGAGAAATAAAAAAGGACATTTGGATCGGTAAAGACTAAATTATATGATGAAATTGATTGTCTAATTATATTACGACATATTCACATTAATTTCATCAATATTTATTACTACCACACATATATTATAATAATCTTTAATAAACATCAATCACATCAATAATATTTTTTTTTAGTTACGAATTTCCAAGTTAAGAATAAACTTGTTGTTTGTCTTGTCAGTTGCAAAATTAGAATAGTACTGATAAAAAAAAAAAGAACCAGATTAGAGAATAGATAAAATAGACAAATAGAATATTAAATTTTCAGACTAAACTAAATATATTCAAATTTACGGAATACTTTTTTATTTCTTTTATATCTAAAATATAAATAATAAATATAAATATAATAAAATATAAATTACACAAACAAAAAGAAAACATCAAACACACCGACTACCGTAATATAATATTGTGTACACTCAATACAATTCTTTTATCTTTTTCCACAAGTAAACGTACATTAAAGGGATGGATAAAGAAGAATGTATTAAAGATGCAAAATGAACGTGTACAAATGAACAATAAAATTTATTCAACTTTTGATTAATAATCGCTTCTCTTCTCTTTCACTCATCTCATCTCTCTATAATATCTATATTTCTCAGCCTCTCAGCCTCTCTTTTATTTTTTATGTTCATTTCATGTTTATCCTCCACACTCTCCTCTCGATAATAATAATTTTTATTGATACATGATTTCTGATACAGGTAATTAATTTTCCGATGTTCTCTAAATAAATTTCACTAATAATAATAATAATAATAATAATAATAATAATAATAATAATAATAATAATAATAATAATAATTAATCTCAGATTTTTTTTTCAACGATTAAAATAATGCTGACAAATTTAGATATATCCTTACTTTGAAAGATAAACTTTGCATTAAGAATGTTAATGAAACTATGAATGTATTCATGATTTATCGAAAAGAATCAAATCATTTTTTTAAACGATTTCATCTTCGGGGGAAAATAAAATAATATTTAAATAATAAATTGGAATAACTAAATGAAGTAATGTCTATAGTTCAAGAAAAAAATACAACTGAATGCTATTCCATCTTTGTAAAAACAAAATGGTGTTGTGTACGATTTGTACAATTTCACAATTTTTTAACAAAAAAAAAATGGGTTTTGCATATCTTGCCCAATTTCGTCTACTTTGATATATCAAAGTTACCTTTCTAATTGATATTATTCCATTATTTATTATGGATTGTCTATCATTGATCTTCATTCATGAATTTTGATTAATCCTTTCGGTATTTTCTGAAAATATTGTATCTAATAAAAAAAAATCAAATAATATAATAAAAAATATTAAAAATAATAAATTTAATAAATTTAATAAAATGAAGAGTAGTGAAATTAGAATGATTAATAATAAACAATAAATGGATCTTATTTAAAGAATAAATCAAAAAAAAATTTTTTTTTTAATTTTTTAAAATATTTTTTTATATAGAATAAAATTTGTTAATAAATTGTTAATTTTAGATATGTATATTGTATTAATATAGAATTTATTTGTGAGTTACCGTGTGTGCCCTGTGCTTGTAAACCTGTAATCCACTTATTTTGTCCCTCCAACAAAAATATCATTCACATTCTTTAAATCCACTCCCAAATATAACTACTTTATCTATCTAATAGTTATCATCACCCATTTTTTTAATACTTTATATTCCTTCTTCTCATTAACTGGTTTATTTTTCTCTCTGCCTCTCTCTATTATTATTTTTTATTATTTTCTGATTTATTTATTTCATTCTTTAGATTTTATTATCTCGTTCTAAAATGTGCTAATTTACATAATTTATTCAATTTACTCAATTAAACTTATATATCACTTATTAAAAAATCCACTGTAAATCATACAATACATTATATATATTGTGTAACGTTCTATACATTTTATATTCTTTATTTATACTATTTTATACTGCATTTTTTTTTAAAAAAAGAGGTAGATATTTGACTGATACAGTATTACATATATATAACCGCCGACAACTGTCAAGACAACTTAAAAATTTCCACACCACTATTTGAAAATAAATCAAAAAAAATTTTTTTCTCGTAGATTCGTTTTTTTTATCTTAATCTAAATTTTTATTAAAATATTAATTGAATAAATAGAAAATTAGCTATTGATACTTTAATATTTTATCTAGAATTAATATATATATTTCGTTACTGGTTAACTCGAACTACTATATCATTTTCTTTATTGTTGTTTTTTTTTTTTTTTTTTTTTTTTTTGGAATTTCTCGCCCACTCGCAACGACATAATTACATCATTCTAGAACATTTTTGTTTATTTTTTTTCATTCACTTATAAAAAGGTTCACTAGTTTGCTTATTATTTCTTTCAACGCTATCAAACTTTCCTCTTGGCTTCCCTCACCCAGACTCAATTGTAAAAAGTCACCAATTTTATTAAATAATTATTAAATTTTTCTCATTTGGGTGAAAACTTTCAAATTATCATATTACTTTTGCAGGTATTTAACTTTTTCCCTTTACTTATTAGTCGTAGAAAATGTTGCAATGGAGTGAAAAACAACATTATGAAATGTGAAATGTGAAGGTCAAATGTGAATATAATATTATTTTTACAAAAAACTTTTTTATTTATTACGAATTATTCCCTAACGTTTATTTCGTTTTCCTTCCCTCATTCTCGTTTTTCCCGTTTGTTTACTTCTTCCTCATTCCTATTCCTATTTTCCTATTCCTCCATTTTATTCCTTTGGTCCTATTTTTATCCTTATTTTCATTATCAATTTTATTCTTTTCTATTGAAATATTCTTAGTTTATATAAATAACATACACTTTTTCCGTTCTTTCTCCTGATCATATATTATTATACATGATTACTATGCAAATCGTTCATTACTATTTTCTTTCGTTCTGATTTCTTCATTTTTATCTTTATTCGTCTTTATTTTATCTTTACTTTATCTTTACTTTATCTTTATTTTATCTTTACTTTGTCTTTATTTAATGCTTACTTAGTTTTCTTTTTTCTTTACGGTGTAGTTTATCAATGCTATCAAAGTCACTATTTAATTTTCTAATTTCCGTTCGATCTGTCTGATCTATTCATTATATTATATTTGGTTTCATTACGATTCATTTCAATATCATTCATCCAATTATATTAACCTTTGATTAATTTTATTCAACGCTTGATCCATCACTTTTAGACTTAAATTTCGAAATGGCTTCTAATTTCGGAATACCAACACCGCCCGCTATTGAATCGTCATCATCTAAATATGCATACGATAACTCAGACAATGATAAACCCAAAATAGTCACTGGTATTTCTTCAGTTCTTGACATGAAGTCTTCCGAACCATCAACACCAATAAGTCCATCTCCCAAGGTGACCAGAATTTCGAGGTTTCGTTATTACTTTACAGACAAGGAAACCTTAAATAATTCAATATTTGAGATAGCCACTGAACACAACATCAAAATACCCGAAGACTCCTCCTCTTATAAGTTGACTGCTCCAACTGATCAGAATCTTGTCCCATCACTTGATTCATCATCATCAGTCCAATCAAGTTCGAACGTTTCGAGTCCATCAGATACAAATACAACCGATACGACCGATACAACCGAGGATGCATCTAAATCAGATAATAATTCTAAAAATTATGTCATTAACAAAAAGAAAAGAAAGGGTATCCCTCGTAAAGCACCTGATTTGTCAGAACTTGAACAAGAACCGGGAATCGTTTTTAGTTTTCCAACAGTTTTCCAGGCGGGACCTCAAAAACAACATAGGACCATTGAAGACCGAAATGCATTTGCCAATCCAATCCCGGCATATCCATATATTTCAAATAACTTAACATCAGTATCCGCAGCACTCATTCATCGACCGGTGCTGCTTCCAGATATTGTTAGAAAGATGACCGACGATCGTCGTTCACAAATGAGATCAAGGCCAACAACACGAGCTAAGAACAAGCGTGACCATCAAGAGCTCGAATACTTGAAATCATCGGGATTGGAGAGCATTCGTGATCCAACTGATAACGCAGCACCTCTTCCAAACCAAAATGAAGAATCGTCGACTGGTTCACGTCGCGGTCGTACTACGATGAGAGGAAAGACCAGTCCGACACTAGTACCGACATCAACACCAGCGATGGCATCATCGTCATCAATCAAGACAACATCAACAGGATCAGGGGAGGCAAAAGCTCATGGAAATGATGGTAATGATTCTTCTTTTTTTTATTACCATGTTGACAATAAACGTCGTTTCTCGGAATCGTCTCTTTCTTCTATGTCGACTTCCGAGTTGAGTGAATATGATCTTAACATCGATAATTTTGACGATGATGAAGATGACCCCGATTTTGCCCCTCCCGCGAAAAAGAGAAAGGCCGAACACGCGATGACCATAAAGACCGCAAACGTAAGCCCAGCCCGCGTGCACCGGCGAGATTCAAACAAGACCAAAGTCTGTGCGAGTTGCCGAACCCGAACGACCCCATGCTGGCGTCCAGCCTGGAGTTCCGAGCTTTTCTTGTGCAATAGCTGTGGGTTAAGGTGAATATCTTAAATATTAAATACTTTCAATTATTTCAATTTGTTTAAATTACGTGAAATATTATAAGGCTAATAATATATTTACTTTAATTATCTATTTTGAATCGTCCATCATCTTAATCACTCATTTTAATCATTCATCTTCTAAATCATAATTCTAATCCTAATTCTGATCCTAATCCTAATCCTGATCTCCAATTAACAAAAAAAAAAAAATACAAAAAAATCATATATAATCGACAAAATATTAATATAAATAGATACAAGAAAACCAAATGCGTCTGTCCAAATCAGGAATGTAGATACATTCCTTTGAAATCCGAATACAACGCTATGTTTAAGAAGGCGAAGAACGGCGACTCTCCAGACACGAAGAGATGCTGCAGATGTCAGACTCAGCTTTAAGTCCTCTCGCTGAGTTTGGTGTGGAATTTTTTTAATTATGATGAATGATATTAATAATAATGATGATAATATTAATAATAATAGTGATGATAATGATGACGGTGATAACAATGGTTATGATGATGATGATGATGATGATGATGATGATAATGAAGTATGATGATCATAATGATGATTATTATGATGATTATGAATACGACCTTAAATGATGATGCAATAAATAATGGCGATAATGATAAATAATAAATAAGCATTTTTAAGTTTTCTTTTAAATAATTTTAATTTTTTTAATTTTTTCATTTCCTTTTTTTTTATTCAAATTTTCATTTTTATTTATTTGGATGACAAATCGGATGAAATTGAAGGAAAGAAATAGTAATAATGGGAGGTGTAGTAATGGTGGTGGTGGTGATTAGTAATTAAATAAATAATAGCAATCATTAATTGATTGTTATTGATGGAAGAGAGACAAATCGATGGAGAGAGAGACGGAGAGAGATAGATTGTTGTTTGTACATATTTGTAACACATCTATTTGAAAAGTATATATAATTCAACTTTTTAGAGAAGGAATTGATATTATGGAGAATTTACATTATTAGAACGATCGATTAATTTAAACATTAATTTTTGATATATATCGATTTATAATTTGATTTTATATTTTGATTTATAAATTTGATTTATAATTTCTTTAGAATTATTATTATTTTATTATTATTTTCGATTTTAGAAAAAATCATAAGTTCGACATATATATACTTTTCTTTTTGTATATATATATATATATATATATATATGCTATTTTTTTTTTTATCATTATTTCTCCCCACTTTTTATTCATTTTCACATTTTATTTTTGTTATTATATTTTTTTATTTTATTTTCATTCACGAAGAAAATTTATTCTTGCAACAAACCAAAAAGATTCAACGATTCAATAAGTCAATAGTTATTTCTAGTAAGATGTAGTAGTAGTTAATAATTACTGCGTACAATATAAATATAAATATTATATATATGTATAGGTGTATGTATTTATATATATATATGTGTGTGTATATATATATATATATATATATATAATGAATCGAAAAGAAATCAAAAAATTAAGTTATTTTCAAATATGTTTATAATAACAGTTAATAACAATTAATAATACATTATACAATTAATAACATACAATTAATAACATAATACAATACAATTAATAATACAATTAATACAATCCAATTAACAAAACTAATCAAAATTATAATTATAATAATTATAATAATTATAATCAAAAATTATCATGTCATTAAAAACCTGCACATAATATTAATCTATATAATATTTATATAATAGCATTTAATCAAATCATTCATTCATATTAATATTGCACTGTTCACTTTTATTATTCACATTCATTATATCAATTATATCAACCTCTCACTTTTCTCTCATAATCCTTGTTTTAGCATGTAATACAATATATATATATATATAATATATATACATATTTAAAAACTTGACTAGATAATAAAACATGATATATAAATATATAATAATACACATGTATTTGATAATCAGTAATCACACGCAAAACCTTAAAAAAACAAAAAAAAATCTGGTATATTGAATTTTCTATCTTGGCTTTGTGTACTTGTGTGTGTGAGTGTGAACGTATATAAATAAATATATATAAATATACATATAAAAATATATATATAAATATAAAATGATATATATATATATATATTGATAATGTATATATATATAGACTTTGATTTATTATTAATTATTATGAAATTCAAAATAGAATTTATTCTGAATATTAAACTTATTTGAATTTATCATTTTATTAATTTTATATAATTTGAATTTATTTATTATTTTTATGAATTTATAAATGTATTTAAATGAATTTAAAAATGAATTTAGCATATGCAGGGGTTATTATTTTTTTCAAATAAAGAAATGTTCCAAATGTTTTCATTAAATGATTGGCGTTAATGTCTACAATTTTTATATTATAATATATTATAATAACTTAATTACTATAATTATTATAATTATTATTTTATTTATTTATTTATTTATTATTTAATTATTATTATGATATTATTTAATTATTGTTTGTTTTAATTGTTTTTGATTTTTGATTGCGTTTTTTTGCGGGGGTGAATTTGGGGTGGACTAGTGTGAATGAAGGAAAATGAATGAAATGAATGAAATGTGGGTGAATGGACTTTTTTGAGCGAATAAGCGAGTTGGGTAATTTATATGTATATATTTAATATGTTTATATGTTGTTTATATATTGTTTATATATTGTAAAATGTTTCATATTATAATAAATATGTCTAAACAAGATAATAAACATGTATTACAAGTATTCAATAATAACAATAATAACAATAATAATAATAATGATAATGTAATCGATAAAGATGATAACTCTGATAACAATATTAACAATATCATTATTATATATATTATCATTATTATATATATTTATTATTTATTATATCGAAATTTTTTTTACGAACGAAAAACATAAACTACAGATTTAGTAATACGCGCGTATTGATGATTAGTCATCACCACGCGTTTTGATATTCAAAGCGTATCTTTAGTATATCATTAAGTATATCTTGGTAAAAACGCGCGATTGAATTTCCATTTCATTATATTCAATATATTCCCAAATATTCATTATGTAATTATATTATACTTTATATTATATTTATTATTATTTTATTTTATAATTTTTATATATATATATTATATAATCACAATAATCATTATATCACAAATGTATCATTATTTCAACTTTAAATAACTTTATTTTAAATGTTAAAAAATCTTATAAATGTTTAAAATATTATAGATATTATAAAATATGTGAATGAGATTTCTATTTTCTTTGATTTTTTCCAAATAAATAAATGAACAAAGACAACAGGATTCTTAATTACTTTTCCATGCACAACTTGCATATCGTATATAATAATAATATCATTTTATAATTAATAATCCCTTTTTTTTTTACTTTTTTTTTTTTTTCTATAATTCATTCTCATAAGTAATTTACACAATCCACAACAAAAAAAAATTATTAAATATATTAAAATTAAATATATTAAAAATATTAAAAATCTATTGTCACACTGCATACATCTTTAATTATTGATCCATATTAACGATATTAACTTAACGATCCTTTATATTAATCTGTACAATCTGTATAATCATACTTACATTTATATACTCTTCATATAAATATACTTACAATTAGAATTTATCATCATTTTTTTCGCTGTATGATGTAACAATGCATTTGACGCGTCTTTGAAACACGCAACAACACGTTTTAAGTAATTTTTTAGTATCGATTTCTCTCTTACTCTTTAATCTTTCTTCTTTAAGAAACATGCTTGGAAATGCATTTTTTTTAACAATGGTAGTTGATTGTGTGTGTGTGTTTTTTTAATCTATTCCCTGGTACAAAAATCTATAATTTTAAATCCTTTTCTTATTATGTTTATTTACATTTAATTGCATTTAATTGCTCTTATTGCGTTTTTTTTTAGTTGATTTGAATTACTTTAAATATAATAAATTCATTATATTTTTTTAATAAATAAAATTTGTAATTATAAATGTAATTATAAATGCAACTATAAATGCACAAAACAATGAATGCACAGCAAATCAAAATCCATAATCACTACTTAAAAATAAATTATCACATGCTTTATGGTTTCTTTTTTTAAAATAACTTTTTGACTTTTGAGCTTTATTTTAGTGTCAAAATAGTTTATCTTGGATTAAATAATTCATCTTGGTATTAAATAGTTTATCATGTTTATCTTTTTCTTTTTTCAAACAAGTTTATCAAAAAATAGAAAAAAAAAATTATTAAAATTATTATTAATTAGGCTAGTTTTTTATCACATTACTTTATATGTTGTTACAAAAAAAAAAGATAATGTTCTATGAAATTCTACTAATATTAAAATGGTATCATCTGCTATGACATTTATATTTAAGATGTATATATTAAGTTATATTAAAAGTAATTATTTATATTACGCATATTAAGGTATATCACTTATATTATATTATTACTTATATTATATTATTACTTATATTATATTATTACTTATATTATATTATTACTTATATTATATTATTACTTGTATTTAATTTAATGTAACCTAATAATTTATTATGCATCTCGAACAGTTTTAATAGTTTCATTTTTCATCTTCATTATCATCATCATTATTATTATTAGACAAAAGAAAGACAACGACGATAAGGAAGGTTATGAAGTAAACGAACTTTTATTTCATATAAAAGCAATTTCATAAATAAACATCAAATTGGGTATTAATTTTGAGTAGTGTAACAATGAGGAATTTTCTAATGTACAATATTAATATAAATGTATCCTGCCTATCTTTTATCTAATTTAAGGTGGTGCTATTTATATTTTCGACAAGGTGATAAAGTATTTAAGGTGGTGCTATTTATATTTTTGATAAGGTGATTAAGTTGATAAAGTTTAGAAACTTTCACTCTTTTTATCTAGGAAATGAACTTGATTTATGTTTTCCCCAATCGTGACTTGATGATGAGGCATATGCTAAAATCCATTTTGTATTTGTTAAAGTATATTTAAGAGCCTTTGTCCAAGCCTCGTCTTGGTTAAATTGTAATCTTATCGACGCATCTCCAATTTTATCTTTATTGATTCTATGAATAATAAAAAATATATATATAAAATAAAAGGAAATAAAATAAATAATTATTTAATTATTTCTCATTTTTCTCATGTTTTTTTGCTTACCGATATGGCAACTTTAGGTTATGATCTTGTTTTTCCGCATAATCTCCCAATTGTTGCAAGCAATTCAAAAATGCCACCATCGATAAATCAAAACGTCGATTTTGAAATAATCTTCCGATGGCTATGTCTCCAGAACCATATCTAAATATATAAGATACATGAGACATATTAAGTAAATATTTATATATATAGTATTAGATAATGACTTACAATTCATAAGTTGTTTTTTCGCCTTCGATTTTTTCAATTTTCGAAAATGATCCCAAAGGAATTAATCGATAACTAAAAATTGATTTCATTAATTAAAATAAAATACAAAATTATTTATTTATTTTACAATTTATCACCTTATAAAATTTGAACTTACGTTTTGAATGTAAAATTAAGTTTATTAGCAATAGTAGCTAATAATAAAAGTGTTTGTCCCCATGCTGCATTAATTTCGCTCCAATCAACCTTTTTTATAAAAAAATAAAAAATAAAAATAAAAAATAAATAAATAAATGAAATAAAATGAAAATTTCTTTCTTTCTTCAAATCTTTAATTACATAATACTTATTAAAAAAAAAAAAAATTATCTACCAATATATACCATTTGGTTTGGTAAACGACCTAGTCTAAACCCATTAATTGTACCAAAATGACCATCATGCCCAATACAAAATGTATCATTATATACATTTGTCTTCTGAAGTTTTTCCAATTGTTTGGCATCATGATCATATTTTAAATTAACACTATCTCTTTCATTTTGGAATGTTTGTAACTGAATATGGAAATCATTGAATTCTTGCCAATAACTATTTAATTAAAGAAAAAAAAAAATTAAAGTGAATAAAAGAATTACTGTGACTCAAAGAATTAAAGTGAATTAAATTCAAATTCAAAAATTCATAAAATATTACCTTTCTTCAAGTTTGTCAAGTTCTTCTGCCTCCTCTTCCAATGCTGCTAATTCCTTCTTCATTTCTTCCCGTTCTCGTTCAATTTCTTCTAATTGTTGAATACCAGTTAATTCGTTTGCACGGATCTTTTATGTTAATTAAATCGTTATTATGATTCAATTATAATTTAACCTTATATTAAACATAAAGAATTAAAACATTAACCTCCAATGACTTGAATGACTTGCCTCTTCAATTTCCTTTTGCAATTTTTTCTCTTCTTCATCACTTATAACATTAACATTAACTTTTTTTAAAAAATCTATGTAACAATCTCGTTCTCGAGAAGAATCCGTCAATTGTTTGCTTAAACTATCCAGAAGTAAATCCGTACATTCGTGACACATAGGATGATTTAATTCTGACTTGGATGACATGATATCAAAAAGACGGTTTGCAACTTTAAGTCGATAATTAAGACTAGTCCTTTGTCTATCATCTACACTCATGTTTATATTACCGAATTCTGATGATAATTGATCATTTGTTGTAGGATACACTTGCGAACGTGATAACATCACATATGATTCTGTCGGTGCTAAAAATGATTCCCTGTTATTATGAATTCCATTAGGTGGCGGTCGTGGTATCGAAGAAGGTGCAGAGAGTGCATTTGTGATCTGAATTCCATTTAAATCAACTTCTTTATCTTTATTGACAACTCGTTTTGATACTTTTTTTGGATCGTCTGTTAATGTCTCTGAAAAACGAGTGTGAAGTGGAGCTAAGAACATGAGCCATAAAGAATTAAGATGTGTGCATAGTTTGATTTATAATCTGTACATAATGTTGATTAAATTAATTATAACCAACCGAGTAAAAGGTCTACCGACGCTGTATTAAGATCGGCAAGAGATTCATCTATTTTTAAAGGGTGTTTACAACGTTTGCAGGTATATGACAAAGATTGATCCATGTTGAAATGTTGGAAAAAAAAAAAGAAGAAAACCTAAAAGTTACAAAATTCATCGAAAAGATTTCATTTTGATTGGTTGTTTCTCTCACGTGCCACTATCATTAAATTTTATTATTCTTACATATGTATACAAAATCAAATATTAAATGTGAATGCATAAATATTATGAATATCGGAGTTATTCATTTTTAATTTTATTATTATTTTTCTTCCTTCCTTTAAATAATTTTTTATGAAATATTTTCATTTTTTTGGTTGAGAGTTGGGTTTCGGCGGATGATGCATTGGATTCATCTCTCTAAATAAAATTAATTAATTAAATATCATCATTAAAAGTTTATAAAAGTATAAATAAAATATTTCCTTACCTTTCTTTTCAAATTTAAATCATCGTCATTTTTAATTATTAAATCATTCGTAAATTTTTTATTGGATAAATTTTTACTAGTATCATCATTATTATCATTAATATTAATGTTTCTAGTATCTTTTGAATTTTTCAATTTTTCCACCCTGTTTTTAACAATTATCATATTTTCAACTGAAAATTCAACGATTAATCTTTTATTATCTCCAAATATCTCTGGATTATTGTTAAGATATCTCAATGCTGCTAATGCATGTGCGTGTTCTGAATATTCAAGAAAACCATAACCCTTTGATTGAAGCTTTTGTGTTGCAGAATCAATCTTATCCTTTGATCGAACAATTTTTGCCTGACATGACAAATACAAAAAATAATGATATGTAAATAAAATGTATAAATATTCGTAAGATTCAACAGAAAAAAAAAATCCTTTCCTTACCTGCTTTATATGAACAAATTTATTCCATCCTTCCTTTTTTTCGCTTTCTGATAAATCATTCCTTTTACCATTCTTAACCTCAACTTTGAATTTTTTAATTGCTTCTTTACCTAAATGTTTTAAATGTAATTCATCTATCATTCGAGGTATATTTCTTATAGATAACCTGATTTTTGATATATAAAGATTTGGATTTTTTGATAATAAATTCTTCCTCATTGTATATGATGCTGAACGTTTATTCACTTCCGAAGCTGGTAATGATTCTGCATCAAGAGTATTGGGAAAAATAACTGAATAAAGTAATTAAAAGTAATTAATTAAAAGTAATTAAAAGTAATTAATTAAAAGTAATTAAAAGTAATTAAAAGTAAATTAAAAGTAATTAAAAGTAATTAAAAGTAAATTAAAAGTAATTAAAAGTAAATTAAAAGTAATTAAAAGTAAATTAAAAGTAATTAAAAGTAATTAAAAGTAATAAAAGTAATTAAAATACAGTAAACTTCTTATTATAAATAAACAATAATTAAAAAAATTATTAAATATATCTTAACCTCCTTCTTTCATTAAATAAAGATTTCTTTTATCTTCTCTTTGTCTTTTCATTTTATTCGATTCCTTCAATTTATTTGCTTCATCTCTGTCAACAGCTTCTACCACTGATAAAACTCTACCATGCAACGTAAATTTTTGTGCTTGCGAATCCGATGGATCAGCAGTGAGTATCGATTTATATATTAATTCTTTACCTTTCCTTTTTGTTATTAATTTCTTGGATGAATCGGTGGAAATGTGTGCCATTTTATTTGCTTCGGCTAAACAAGAGTCTGCATGTTCCTTGTGTACGAAACATACGAATCCTGTGCCACGAGAACGTTTCGTTATGTTGTCTCTTGTAATTACATAGTACCGTAACGGTCCAAACTGTCGAAATCTATAAAGAAAAAATAAAAACTGGTAATGTTAATTATTCATATATTTATTATATCAAAAAAAAAAAAAATATCAACCAACATTGCCCCTAATTCTTCTTCTTCGGCTTCAAATGCAAGATTACGAATAAACAAAACCGTGCCCTCTGGATTTCTTTCTGTCGTTATTTCTTTACAATCATTATCATCCTTAACATCATCCAATACAATGTTTTCATCATCCAATGCAGCATTTTCATCATCCAATGCAGCATTTTCATCATCCGATACAAAATTCTCATCATCCGATACAGCATTTCCATCATCCGATACAGCATTTTCATCATCCGATACAGAATTTTCATTATTTTCATTATCCATTACATTATTTTTATCATCCATTACAAAGTCTTTTAAATATTTTTTGGGGGGAAACCTTTTTTTGTCGTCCTTTTTATTTATTGGTTTTTGATGCTTTTTTAGGGCGTATTCCAGTCGTAAGGTACGTTGCCCTCTGAATTTGACCTTTTTGAGTTGCTTTAGTGCGCGTTCCGCATCTTGGCTTAAAGCATATTTCACGAAACCGTAACCAAGATTCTTGACTACGTTCTTTAATTCCTCATTAACAGAGGGATTATTAACTGATTTTGTATTTTCTGATTCTTTTATAAGAAAACAAGATCTTATTGGTCCTATTTCTGAAAAAAAAGCCTCAAATTCGGAATCAGTTGCATCGTATGGAACTTTGCGAACAAAAAGTTTGATTTTGCTTCTCGTTAAGGAATCGGTTGTGACTGGAGTAAAATCTTTAGTTTTCATTATGTTTGCTTGAGACAAAATGAGTTACAAAAAAAAAAAAAAAAAAAGACTATCATGTGATTAAATAATGGTGGCGTCTAACGCGCCTTTCTGTCCGATTTTTGTTTTTATAAAAGACTTTTATTCCTTTTAATATTAATTAGAAAAATTCAAACTCCTGAGTTATACTACATATTAAGTTTACATTTCTCGGTTGTCTTATTAATGTTAATATGTCAATAAAATATAAATATAAATACCTTTCTAATTTTCTACAATAACTAAACTAACATAATTATCAAACATAATTATAACTAAATGTAATTATAACTAAATGTAATTTGAAGGAGAATAAATTTTACCTTTTTTTTTTTTTTTTTTTTTTGTTTGTTTGTTTATATGAATTCATAATACTTTACACGCCAATTTTTGATCCGTTCATTATTTGTAAAAAAATAAAGATAAAAAAAAACAATACTTAAAAATGCTAAAGGCACTAACCAAATCAACCAGAGTTTTATATAGTAGTTAACATTTTATGATCAAATGATCTTATTTGATCTTACATTTTTAGCAATCGTATAAACCTTTTTTGTTTAATAGAAATTTTTATAATCCTTATACGAACGTATTTCAATGTACTTTTAAAAGGAATTAATTTTCCATTTAAAATCTACTTATATACATACTGTATATATATATATTACATCTAATAATATAAAATAATATTTAGAATGTCTCGAGAAAACGAAATTTTCACTCTAGATGGGAGTCTCCTTGAAGGAGGCGGGCAAGGTATACTACCATTGTACTTGTACTTTATAAATGTTTACGCGAATTATTAGATATTTTAATTAAATTCGTTTTATTATTTAGTGGTTCGAATTTGTGTCGCCTATAGGTGAAAAAACAAAAAAGACTTAATTACCTGATAAATTAATTAGAATAAAGGTCAATATTGCTTATGAAATATAATATCTACATTTTCAGCTGTATGTTAAAGAGGCAAATTCGAATAATAAATATTAGAGCAAATCGAGATAAGCCCGGTGACTAATCTTTCTTTTAATATTAAGTAGTTTTTTTTTTCTTACATTTATATTAACTCGCACCGTGTAATTAAATAAATTGGGAAAACACGGTGAATTAGGTCTTAAACCACAACATGTATGCGGCCTTCAACTATTGAGCGACATTTTTCAATCAGAATTGCAGGGCGATAAGGTTTATATATTATCATTTCGAAATTATTAAACTCAATTCTCATTAATAGTTGATCCGTTCATCATAGATTGGATCTAAAGAAATTTTATTTTATCCAAATCATGAAATTAAAGAAGAATTGAAGACCTTCATAGCAGATACCAAGACTGCAGGGTATAAAACATTCTTTCTATTGACAAATATATAGTACCCGTCCCCCTCATTCACATTAAATTATTCTATAATATGTAAATAGGAGTATTTCGTTATTGATACAAATCTCTTTACCACCGCTTCTGTTTTCCGCGTCACCACCTAAATCTTACCTAGCACTTCCACCACGAGCAAGAAAAGTTATTCTCAAAGGTGGAACTGCAGTAGAAGCAGCTCCGCCAATTGATTTTTTTATAGAGGTATTTGTTATAGTTATTTTTAGGTTAACATTAATTTTTAGTTATATTGCACGCGTTTACAATTAATTTCAAGGTTTTCAGACCTATTGTACTACGCGAGTTTGACATTAATTTTGATGTTAACATTACAAGACGTGGGTAGGTTGATTCTTAAATATCTTAATCATTTTCAATTGTTACATAATTAAAATTTTTAAATGATTACTATTTTATCCAATTATATTAGATATTGGCCTCAAGGTGGAGGAGACGTTATGTTGCGAGTAGATCCAATAGTTGGAAGAGCTTTAAATCCGTTAAAGATAATAGATCGTGGTACATTTATAAGTATTAAAGGGTAAGAATTCTTTGAATAATAAGATTCATTTGATTACATTTATATAAAATTTATATGACTTTTTTCCTTTATTAATATATTACAGTCGAGTGAATCTTGTTAATATGGCAAAACAGGTAACCTTGGTTATATTTTATATATAATATTTTTATATATGTTATTTTTTTTATATATATAATATTTTTATATATAATATTTTTTTATATAATATTTTTTTATATGATATTTTTAGGTTGCAGATAAAATGATTTCAGGTGCAATACAAACAATTTCTAGTGCAATGTTGACCGAAATTAATAAAATAAAACCTAAAATAGAAGTTAATATTGAGAAAAACGTTATAAAAGGATCAGATATACTGTAAGTTACAATAATACAATCTAATTTTTTGCAATTAATCTTTCATTTTTCTTATATATGTTTGATAGATTATGGGCAGAGACAAGCACTGGATGTATAATAAGTGGCCACGCGATTTCTAAAAAAAGTAAGTATTAGAATTATTAGAATATTCATCATAAACAATTTATTTGAATTTTTTTTTTATTTTATTTACATTCTATAAGGACAACCACCAGAAGATGTTGGAAAATTAGCTGCAAACGAACTTTTGAATAATATTAGACACGGTGGATGTGTAGATGAGTATGTCTTAACTTTTACTAATTTTGATTGTGTTATTTTACAAATAGAATATATTAAAAAATATTTCTATTCCCTTTTTTTTAGATATCTCCAAGATCAATTGATAATATTTATGTCACTTGCTGAAGGAAAATCTCAATTGGTCACTGGTCCTATAACCATGCATACTATTACTGCAATACATTTTGTGGAGAAAATGTCAGGAATAAAATTTCAAATTTCCAAATTTTCATCTGAATCACAACAATATTTGCCAATAGAAAGTAATGTATCACATGAAATATATAAGAATGGTTTATTTATGATAGAATGTGAGGGAATAGGGTTAAAAGTTTAATATAATCTAACTTAAATTTACTTACAGAACTAGATTATATTTCAATTATTTCAATTAAATATTAGCTTGCAAGAAATTAATAAAATTATTAAAATAAATAAATAAATATTTTATTTACAATTATAATAATATTTTTATTTGTATACATTTTATCTTATTAAAATTAATTGTTCAAAATTTAAAAAACAAATTCAATTACAAAAAAAAATATGTATATAAAAAAAAAAAAAGAATCAATTTTCAGGTTTTTTTGATCTTCATATATTTTTTATACATTTTGAAATTTGATTTCAATCAATCAAGATTGAATTAAAATGAATAATATAATATAGAAACAATTTGGTCAAAATATATTTTTTTTTTGGAAAAATTACGCATTGCATAATCTACCACATTTTTAAATAAAATACATCAAAATTTAAAAGATAATAATAAATACTATCCGTTAATGTCCTATGAAGATAAAGACCTGAAATAAAAAGCAAATGAAATAAAACTTGAGATTTATAAAACAAATGAGATAATAATGAACAAGAAAGATAAACTTATAAATAAAAATGGGAAGTTATAATCTATAGTACAAATAAACACAAAATTTTTGAAGGGAAAAAATTTAACAAGAGGAAGGGAAAAAAGTTACAAGAAAAAAAAAAGTCCGGCTTCAACAAAAATTAAAGGTTGGAATATATATTACAAAGGAAAAAAGAACTTCCTCTGGTTAATTCCCTTCAGTTAACCATTTAACCCAACAAAGATATATATATGTATATATATATTTATTATATTTATATATATATATATATTCCCAGCTATCTTGTATATCCATTTTTGTATAGTTATTTAATCTTTATGTAGTATTTAAATAAAAAAAAAATTATTTTCGCAGGAGATCTCACGAATTGCTCGGCCAAAAAAAAAATAATACATATAAATAATACATTGGATCTGATAGATCAGCGTCATATTAGTAGAAATCATTAAACATATACCGATTTGTTTTGCCTCCTTTTATGATTTGGTCTATCATTTATACTAAAACTTCGAGTTCTAAATGATTTTTCTTCGCTGATTATTGCTGAAAAACTTTGTCGGCGAGGATAAAAATTTGATGACTTATTATGGGGACTTGAATTTTCAAGATCATCTGCAAACGTCACATGATGCGCCGAGATGGGGGATGACACGAGTACGTTATCTTTTTTTTCGTTAATACAGGAAGATTCGTTTGGAGATATGGGAGATGGAGTGGTTGAACCTTCCGTAGAAGATATGGTAGTCACAATATTTGAAGGTTTGTTTGATTTTTTTGATTGTTTGTCATACGAAGGGGATGCCGACTTGGCACGAGGTGGCAAATTCTCATCCTCTCGCTTAAGTTCATTCTTTTGGTCATCCCGAAACTTTGGTAATGCACTCAACGTGCCATTTTTGTGAAAATTAGAATTCTGTAAGTTTCTGGGTGGTAATTGTCCAAGTGGAGGAGGTCGATGACGATCATGTCCGGTTTTTCCTCCGTTGAAATTGACCTTTCCACCATTATTAAACGTATTAGATCTTTCTCGCTTGCCATTAGACCATTGATGTGGTGGGGAATTTAAAGTCACCGGAAAGTTATGAGGACTAACGGGAGAATTCCCACTGGTGTATGTATATGACCTTTCTCTGTTATAAGTCTTGTTCGCATTAGAACGTTCGCGATTTTTACTACCTTCACGATTTGATCTTCTAGCATCCTGAGAAGAATGTCGTACGTCTTGAGGTGGAACATATCTTAAATCTTTAGGAGATCCAGTAATTTCCTTTTCATCACGTTGGGAATTATTAATAGTAATGGTCATATAATTTTTAGCAGCACAACGAGTAGAATTAAGGGGTTTTCTTCCTCCTTGTATCGTAGTCAATTGAGCATCTTGCATATGAGACATGGTTCTTTTTATGGTTGCTGAGGGGGAAGGAGCTGAATTATTACGAGCAGTATCGCGAAGATTAGGAACACTTCGTTTAAGAAATTTTGTAGCCAGATTATTAGTTCGTATATTAGGAATGCTTCTCCTAGGACTCAGTGGGAAATTCTCTTCGACGCCAGCGCCATTATGTTGCATTGTATCAATTTTATTAATTGGAGACGATACTCCAGGAACAGGGACATCATATGTATCCTGCTCGGTAGAATCTGATGGAATAGCGATTGACAATGGAGAAGGTATAGAGGGTCTTCTGCTTTGTAAATCTCGTAATTCGCGACTCGCTTTAGGGGTCAAAGAACGAGTACGATCTTGTTCGAAATAATCGTGATTAGCATCAGCTCCACTGCGAAAAGGATGTGATGGTTTATTTTTATCCAACCAAGGTATTTTGACTTTTCCATCACCCCACTTTGATACTTCAGCTATTAATGCATTCTCGTTATTCAAATTATTTGCCCAATTACTCTTTTCAGGGCCTCCGTCAAATTCTTTAAATTCATCATCAGCGTTGTCTATCCAAAATCTAGACTCGTTTACTGGAGTTGATGGCACCGAGTTAACTTCTTGGCTTTCGACATTATCTCCGTTCCATGAAAGTCCATTTTTCCAGGAATCTTCTAAACGCCGTGCTTCCATATCCCATTGTGCACCGGGATCCATTGTAGTAGTCCAAGAAATCTTTGCGGCAGGCCGTTTGACGTATGAAAATTTTCTAGAGGCTTCTGGACGCTTGCCTCGTTTTTCGTATTCACGACCATTAAAATTATTCCCATTTTCAACCTGACCTGAATCACGGTGGGGTAATGAATAGCTGCGTGGTGGTGAAAATCGTGAATTGGGCTTAGATACCATGGTCAAAGAGTTTGAACGTTCATTTTGTCCAGAACCAGGAATATCATCTTTATTTTTAGTTCTCCACGAAGAATTTTTTCCTCGTTTATAGAACGGAGAAGAGGGAGGAGATCCGAGGGCTATATCATCATCACAATCAAAAAAACGTGGAGACTTTATCGCCAGTGGAGACTGTGATCTATAATAACGCAAACGTGGAGACATGGGTCTCTCGTATGCTTCTTCGTCAGCCACTTGAAATTCTTGAGTTACTAATTCTGCCTCAGGACCTTTTCCTGCAGTAGCTCTAGTAAAATAGATAACCACCGTACAAATTTAATATGCTTAATAAATATGGGAATTGGCATGATTAGAATACATACGCTAATAATTCCCGTAAATAATTATAATCTGGTTCTTGATCATAGCCCAAATTTCTGGTGTAATGAAGATAAGTCATGAACCCTCTAGGAAACCCTTCATAAAGCTCATCTAAAGGAGTTTCTTCCTTCATTTTTTGCATTTTGGCCCAACCTTGTCGTGAATTACGGGCGGTGACTCCAGCCCAAGTAAGATTCCCCCTTAACATTTCAAGTAAAACATAAGCGATAGATTCTAAATCATCACGACGAGAATGAGCTATAAGATTATAAAAAACATCAAATTAAAATCATAAAATCAAAATAAAATCAATAAAGAAAATATATACAGATCTAATAGATCTAATCGCGTACGTAAACCACGGTGAACATTCAATGCAGCATATCGTGCTGTTCCCGTCTTGTTTTTTGTTGGTGGTTGATTTTTATTAATATGTTTTCCCGTTTCCGGGTCGATATAGTATGTGGAAAGTCCTAAAAATATATAACAACATAATTATTATTACAAGCATTATTTGTGAAAAAAAACGGTAATAATTTTTTTTTGTCGAAAATTCACATAATAAATATTATGAACACGTATAATGAACACAAACCAAAATCAACCAAACTCAGAAAATGTTTTCTTCCAACGAGTAACTTGTGATCACGGATCTTAGCCTCAGGTGTCTCGTCGTCAGAATCGTACATAGAAAGGCGACTAATTTGGAGGGGAAAATCCCTTTCCAGAAGAAAATTATCAGGTTTAATATCTCGGTATACAATACCCCGTTTATGTACATATTCCAATATCGTGACCTTATAAAATATATGCATTTAATATTGTTATAACAATCGAATTGATAAATATATTTAAATATGGTCTGAATGGTAACACGTACCATTTGCTGAGCAACATCACTCACAAAAGCTACAGGTAGAGATTCATATGCTTGCCGGAGCGCTCTCAGACTCGGACCAAGCAAATCCATAACCAAGGCATTATATATACCTTCCGTTCCAAACCAATGTACTTTTGGTATGAATTCTATTTAAGAAAAAAAAAATTGGTATTGGCTCGTAAAAATTATAAACAAAATTGATATATTATAAATTAAAAACTCACTCGCTCCTTGAAGTTTTCTGAGTATTTTTTCTTCATCCGGGAGCTGAGGATGGTCTAAGTCAATTAACTCCCGTTTGATTGCACATTTTAAATTTGACGACGTATGCACGGCTATATACAATTAAATAAAAAGGAATTATCAGTTGACTATATATTTTTTGATGCAAATAAATAATGATAAGTTACTCGGAATTTTGAGTTGTATAACTATAAAATAAAGCTAATGCTACTTCGAATAATATAATATAATGATATTATTTCTAAACTAGTCAAAGGTAATTTTTATTCCAAAGAACATTATATAACATTGCCCTTCATTTAAATAACATTTTGAACATTGAAATGCAAGAAAACAGGTATCATGTAACGCTATGTAAGGGGAAAGATAATAATTAGGAAACCTACCTCGAAAGACCTCACCGAAAGATCCCTCTCCGATTTTTTCTTCGACTAACCAATGTCCACCCACGACTATGTCGCCTCCCATTATTTATGTGCAGAATAATGAAAAAGTTGCGTGAGTGCAAAGAGTCAGCAAACCGCAAATAGGCGGAAATTGGTCCTTCAAATTAAAATCTTTGAGAGTTCGTATGGAGAAAGTCTATCGAGCTTTAAGTATACGTAATGACAAGTAAAAGACGGAAAGAAAAGGTTTGGGGAGTTTTTTCTTTATTGAGAAGACAGGGTTGAGTTGGTAGTGGAGATGTTATTGTGTGGAGTGAAAGAGTAAACTCAAGCACACGGAGAACTTGTGCTTTTGTGTTTTAGAATCAGCACGATAACTGAAAAAGAGCTTGAGTTAAACACAACACACAACTGTGTCTGCACTTATAGATTTTTTACAATATTTAAAAAGAGTGGGAAAAAAATATGAACAGAAGAAAAACGATAGAATGTATGCGGCAGGGGTGGTGACAATGTGACATTTGGTGAAACTATCCAATAAGAGAAAAGACCGGTCTTTACGTTTTAATAAAATTTCGAGACGTGAAACTACAATAAAAGTAATAAAAATAAAAATAGATTACAAATATTTATAGAAAAGAATTTTGTATTTTGTGATTATTCAATATATAAACCTGTATATATTAAAATACACCAATCAAATCTAGTCAATGTTATACTAAAGCAACTTTATTCTCTTTAAATCTAACTATCTATACTATTTTGGCTAGCATAATAATGGTGGCTAGTGTTGTTAACGTTCCAAAGTCAAAACTGCTAGTCAAGCTGACTTGAAACTCTCAATTTAGCCAGTCTGGCTTTAATTTAATAAAGGCTGGTTTGTGTAATATATATTTTATAACGTGATAGAAATTTAATTGAACCAATCAAAAATGAGACAGAAAATTCTAATAGATATTTTTAAATAAAAAGTAAATTATTAATTTTTTCTAAAGAAATATTTACATTGACAAATGCTTTAATTATATTACAATTTTTTTTAATTTTGTAAGTTCTGGTTTTTATTTCTTTCATTTATTATATAAAAGTATTTTTTATATACATATATAATATGCAATATTATCAAATTTGTTTTTTTTTTGACCATTCTTATATTCTATATTCCACTGTTCCTATCTTTAATTAGCTTATAAAATAGATATTAAAACTTTATAAATCAATTCTAAATAATTTTAATTAATAGTTAAAATAGGTTTTAATAATAAAATTTTATGTTATTTATATTTTAAAAAAAAAAAATAACTTTTGTTTTAATATTGTTTTAAAATATTTCTTGACAATACTAATAATATATATCCATAATTAATTTATATTTTTATTCTGCAATAATTATTATAGTATAAAATATATCATTATATTCTTTAACTTAGATATAAATTATAATTATACTTATTTTAAGTAACATTAGCATTTACTTCTATATATAGAATAAATATTTAAAAAATCTTAAAAAGGTAAAAATATATTTATTTTACATCAGGAATTAAATAAAAACATTCTACAATACTATATAAATACCATTCTATAGTGTTATTCGAATAGCACATCAGGAAATTTTTGGAAACAAAAATATTTAAATATATTTAAACTACATTATATCCAAATATATTTAACCACCTGTACATTTATCTGTATTAAAAAAATAAATATATTCATATATATTTGAATTTATCTGAATAATTATTTGAATTTATTTAAATTTATGTAATTATATTCACATATATTCACATGTTTTACAAATTTATTTAGAAAATTTTTCAAAGTTTTACATATAACTTTTATATATTATATAAATTCATTCAAATATAATTTCAAATATATTCATATTTATGTAAACACATTCAAATAATTTAACAAATTTGTATAATTATTTTTATATATTTTATATTTAAATTTAAAATTTATTTATTTCAATATAACAAATTATTTAAATATTTATAATAAGTTTTAAAATATTACAAAATATAATATTTTATTTTCTATATTATTTTTAAAAATTATAAATATTTTTATTTTTTTGTTTCTTTTAAAATATTTAAATAAATAAATATATAAGAAAAATTATTATTATATTTTAAAAGTGTATAAAAATATTCAAAGAAATATAAATATATTAAAGTATTACTTTTTCTTTCTTTTACTGTAAATTTCTAAAATATTTAAAATATTTTAAAAATTTTTAAATAAATAAAGTAAATAAAGAAATTATAACTATTTGAAAGAATACTTATTTTTTAAACTTTATATTATAAATTGATTTCTTTCTAAAAAGTAAATAAAAAAAATTATAATAAATATAAAAAAGTGTTAAAATATTCAAAGATATAAATGAAAATATAAATACAATAAAAATATTAACTTTTTTTCTTTATTTTATGTAAACTTCTGAAATAAATATTTAAGATATTTTAAATATTTTAAAAAATAAATAATAATAAATATAAATGAAGATAAGCATATATATCTATTTTATGAACTTTATATTCTACATTGATTTCTTTATAAATGATAACTTTGAAGATTATTTAAATAAAGTATAAAAATGAAAAGTAAACTTGCAAAAATAAAAAGTAAACTTATGAAATATTTTAAAAAAAAATAAAAAATACCTTGTTTATTTATCTTGTTTATTTATACTAAGATCAGTTTTGTATTATATAGTATTTATTAATTACATCTATACGTTTATATGTGTTTAATTATAATAATAATTTTTATTTTATTTATAATAACAAATAATAAAAAATTAAAAATTACAAAATTTTTTATAAATATTCATAATAAAGTAATAAATAAAAAAAAGATAAAATAAACTATAACCTTTCAAAAATTCTAAAAAAAAATAACAATGATAATGGTGATAATAATTATAATAATAATAGTAATTATAATAATAATAATATTAATAATGAAAATAATTTTCAAATAATTAAAATAATTGAAGACAATTTACAAATAATTGAAAAATAATGTAAATAAAAATAAATATTAATAAAATAATATATAAATTTATAAAATAAAATGAAAAAATTAGTATATTTTTACTTAAGAATTTTTTTTAAAATTAAAATAGATCTTTATCTATTTAAAAATTATAACTTTAAAATATTAAAAATATAATTTCAGTATCATTTTTTATTAAATATTTCATAAATTTATCTGAATTTTTTTTAAATTAAAAAATATCTAAATTATACTTGTACACAAAATTATTTTGAAGTTTCGAAATTATAATTTTGAAAAAAAAAGTTAAAATAGTTTTTTATAAAAAACAAAATTATTTTACTTAAAACCTGAAATTTTTTGATTGAATTTATATATAACTGAATACTTTTTTTATTTTTATATATAAAATAGATTCTACATAAATCTCAAAAAGTTGAAATATCTTAAAAATCCAAAATCAATTTTAGGAACATGTATAATTTAAATATTTTCACCTCCAAAAATTTTCTGATATATTAATATACTAGAATATAATATATTTTAATATTTTGTTTAAATATTTTGTATTAATAGTATTAAATATATTATTATAGTATATTATTTAAATATTTTATATTTATAATATATTAGAACATAACTTTTTAATATATTATTTAAACATTTTGTATTTATAGTATATTAAAATTGATATTTTTAGTACATTACAGTGGTTTATAAAAGTATTACAACAAAAAATATATATCTTTGTTATAGTATTTTTTATTAATTTTAATAAAAAATATAAAAAATTTTTATGTTTCTATATTTATCTTATCTTAAATTTAATATTAATATAATAATTATCACAATTAATATCTTGTGTTACCTAATATTGATCGATTTTGTTTATTTTATTATTGTAATTCTTTTGCGACTTATTTAAAAAAATTATTATTTTAATTTTTAATAATAATAAAAATAATAATAAAACCTATTTTTTCTTATTAAGAAAAACTATTTACTGATTTTTTTTTAATTAATATATTTAAAAAAACTATCTATGAAACAAATATCTATTAAAAATGAGCTAAGGTAGCTACGCTTCTCCAAGAAGAAAATACTATTTACTATCACAGGTCAAAATTCAAATATCAAATATCTATTGGGTACCTATCGACCTTTAATATTTTCAAATATCAGGTATATGAAATATTTTTATATATATCGAGTATCCAATATCTATATTTTTTTTTAAGGACCTAATAACACTTTTGTAAATTTTATAATATATCCAATAGCTATGTGATAAAATTTGTTTTAATCTCAGGTATCCAATATTTTATTAATATCAAGTATATGATAATAAATAGTAATATTGGGAGCATGATATTTTTTAGATTCCTTCAGGTGTCTGATATTATAGTAGCACTGGTCAAATTGTAGAAAATCAGCACCTATCGTACACCTATCGAGCACCCGATAGGTATGCGATAGATGCCCGATTTTAAATAAATTTTAATATATCGGGCTCCCGATAGATAGAGTGAGTGTGCCGAAGTTCGGGCACATATCAAGCACATATTGACAGATATCGGACACATATCGGGCTCTGATTTTTTGGCATTTTTTTAAAATATATCATATACTTATCAGGTACCTGATTTTATTTTTTTTTATCAGGTACATATCTTTAATATATCGGTATAGTATATTGGATATATATTGGTGTTATGGTATAAAATGTAACATTATAATTATTAGTTAAAACTTCAATATATTAATATAGTATCAATACATTATAACAGAGGATGAACAATTATTTAACTTATTATTAATATTAGTTAATCA